GATTTGATTGATTGCTCGGTTTTTCGAATAGAGGAATCTCACCGTTGCAGTTGTACGTATCCCACGCAAAATCAGGTGAACAAAATCTTCCATTCGGGCAAGGATTTGACAAGCAAGGGTTCTACGAAGAGAATTATACATGTAAAAGTATTATGCATGTAATCATTGCATTGCTAACGTCAACTGAGAGCTAGGGGTTTGTCGTTATACGACTTGTATGTATATGGTTATGCATGTACGGCGCAGATGTGCACATAAAAGTCGCTGATATACACATAGAAGGCTTTCATGTCCCAATTATGCGAAGAAGATCTTAGAAAATTTTCAGAGACTTAAACTTGAACTGAAAAGAAACTTTTGAGGGATGTACATTAAGATTCGAATATTATTATAACCGATGTCCAGTATGTTTTGCACAGCCATAGCGAAATAGGCTCWTTCGCAGTTCCCTGGTGCAATCTTCAAATGTAACCGTGCCTTTGCAAGTGCAACAACCGTTGAGCTTGCGCAATGATACCAACATCCTTTCACACCTACAGATAAATGTTTATCATTGTAAGCTCAGTGGTAGTCTCACTTAGGTGCAAAGCCACAGCTATACCTTTCAAGATGCCGCAGGGAAATTGTTGTCCTCGTTGCCATGACATTGGTCACTTCATTTGGTTGCGCAGTCCTTTTCATTGATGTTGCCGGCTTGTTATTGTTCATCGTATTTGACTTAACATCTTAGTTTTTTATTTTCTCTGTCGTCAGGTGCATGGATTGTCACTATCATACAGACAAATGTTATATAGAGGATATTACATGTGCAAAACGAGATCTTTTCAACAAGAGAAGATAAAATTCGTATCTCCAAGCGACCATGTAAAATTTTGTTTATCATATAATTACATATAAAAGAAAATTATGTCGTAAAATACCTTTTTTCTTACTTCCACTATTTAGAGAAACCTCGAAAGTGTTATTTTCACTAGTGGAAATATCAACTTTTCGCAATGTAGAAATATAGGTATTTCATAGATAATTAAATGATAATCTTGTATAATCTACGACTTCCCTTTGTCAGTTTATAAGTAAAAAATCCTCTTCAAAATTTCTTACCTTAATTGGGCAATATTCGTGACCTATCTTGTTAACCAGGAAACTCGGTCGGCTAGAGTGATCTGCGGCATTTAGCTCACAAGATCTTATTTGGCTTAATACTGGACCCAAGTTGTACGACACACATCTATTATCACTGAAGCACTTGTTCTGACAGCGTTGCAATGCAGGTGTAAGCAGCCTTGACGTACTGATCACATGACCTACTAAGGTCTTGTTTTGAAAACACTTGAGATACTGAAGATTTCTACATCCTCGTCCGCCTGAATGGAAATGATTGACTTTAGATATTCGATGATGGTTATTCAAGAAATGAGAGAGACAATTCAAGCGTTATATTTATGAGAGTGCTTGGAATCGTTAGCGAGTTGAATGAATTATTTGGGGAGATATAACAAGATGTAAGAAAGGAATGTATAAGATCATTAATTTATAATTTGTTTCATAATACTGGATGAAGCTTGATTACAGATCTTCCAAAGACAAAAAAAAAATAAACAAGAACAAGAACAAGAACAAGAACAAGAACAAGAACAAGAACAAGAACAAGAACAAGAACAAGAACAAGAACAAGAACAACAAGAAGATCAAGAAGAACAAGAAGAACAAGATAAAGAAGAGGAACAACAAGAACAAGACAAATAACTAATAACTGATCAAATTCACTTCAAATAAAGCAATTGAAATAAGCACTTTTAAGGTGTTTCGATCGTAATAAATAGCGCTTCGCGCGTATTTTTAAAATCCAACTACGTCGCAAATTTCGGTTCAATTGCACTCAAACTTTCACAGAAGTCACAGTGCCATTATCGATAATTCTTGTTGATAAATTAATTTGCCAAAAAGCGAAGCCATTTGGATAAACGATGCAAAATAAAAACACCWACATTTTTATTCAAAATTAATTTTCTCRAAACTCATCGCAGAGATTGTAATAAAATTTTCAGAATCATTTTTTAATAACATAATTGATATAAAATTTCGAGTTGTTTGAGCAAAATGATGTACATCCGAACAACTCGAAATTTTAAGTTAAGATTTAATTGAAACTTCGTCAGTATATCAATTGTTATTAATCGAAACACCTTAACCAACATACCTTCTGCTGTAGTTAAGATGTCCAGGAAGAAAACTAAAAGAAAAATCATCGTACGATACTAACAGGAGTATTATTACTATCTCAAAGATTTTTTTACGTAGAGCTCGTTACATGTCATTGCACAGCTTCRGGGGTCTCAGAACCAAATTACTTTACAACAAAGCCATTACAGTTACTTTAATTTACGTGATATTATTGATTAAAAATAGGTATATATAAAAACAAAAGACTCAAGAGGAGGTAGYATAGAAAACTAAAAACGCTCATCAAAAATTGATAGCATTCAAACTACAGAATTCAAATGTTTACAAAAAAATAAAATGAAAAAACTCAGTGCTTTAAATTTCGTATAGAAATAATAAAAAAAAAACCAGAAGGGTTAGAAGCTATTCAACTAAAATTCAAAAGATATTCTCATGACAAGTTTTTAACGTTATTTTAACGAGAGAAAMATAAAAAGCAACAAACATAGCAAGGCAAAAACAAACAAAACATCTGGTGCTGTAAAAAAATATATTAAATACAGTTTCATCTATAAATACAGATGAACTCGATTTAAGATTCAAGCTGTTCAAAGTTCGATGTGATATATAGCACTGATGTCAAAATTAATGTTTGATTTGAACTGTAGACAGAACGAAAAAAAAGGAAGAAATGATAGTGYATCAATATTATCATAGCAATGCTGGCACTTCAYTGTTTTGCGTMAAACATAATGCAGTGTTTTATTGAGAAAAGTCTTAAAATAATCAATAATGCAAAAACACAAATATAAATCAAATGTGTTGATTTTATTTCTCATTCAAAAATATAAACTTCAATGAAAATTTGTACAACARTTTAATCACTCAAATATAAAAATATATGTATTATAATTACTAAAAAATAATCTAATCGCATTGAGTAAATACAAATTAAAATTAAAACTATCAATTATAATTATATATTTTTTCAAATATCTACAAGAAGTATTTTTGTTTATCTATCTCATTTAGATTTAAAAGCATGATATTTGATTCCCAAAATCTGATCAATCTTACTATTACTACACCTCTACTTTTAGATTTTTCCTTTCGCGGTTTGTACATATCCTCTATTACAAGATGTCCTAACTAGTCTACAAATACTATTAWATTTAAAAATGTCTTTAAAATGTAAATAGAAAACGTACAAGTTGCTTTTCTAAGCAAGCTTTTTTCATTTTTTTTACGCAACACTGAAATTTTCAAAATAAGCAAATTTCGCCAAAATCACCAAATAAATCATGAAAATTCTATTTGATGATTGAAAAATTATTAAGATTTTGCTGTATCGCATAAGAAGTAGCCATGAATAGAATATCTTTACTTTGTAAGAAGACATCATGCAGAATTAGTGGCTTTATTGTTGCTATTAATCAACATAACTGCTCAACAAGTGATGCTGATAAAATTGAATGTCCAGAGGACGAATAAAATTTTAAAAATTCTGATTAATTGATTCAATACATTTGCATAAATTAAGAATTAAATTATTAAATATCAAGCATTATAATTGCAGCAGCAATAGCGCTTCATTAATTGTAAAAATATATATTGCATAAAGCATTACATTGACGCTGTGAGATG